TCAGTTAAATTTACTTATCTGTACATAAATTTTAAAATTTTATCTGGGAAAAAAAACTTAGCAAACGAGTGAAAATTGCAGTAGAATTAGTTACAAATCACGGGGACGTAGTCTTACTTGCTGAAATACGCTAAAATGTGTCGTGTTGAAAAGTAAGGAAATCAATAGTCTTAGTGGCAGTTTAATGTAATGAGTTGAAAAAAAAATGGAAGGTGAGAATTACTCTGTTTTGTTGGTGAAACTGGTGGGTTCAAGATGTTATGAAGAGTTTGAAGAAAGTTTAAAAAAAACGGTAAAGACGTAGATCACGTTTGCATTATATAATGTCATCGTAAAAGGCACTTAAAAATTGACCAACGTTCGAAACCTGAACGGATGGAAGTACGTCACGTAGTTATTGGTAAAAAAGAGAAGCGTAAATATCTAGAATGTGGTATAAGAGTTTCGAAGCAGGTGAAGAAAACGGTTAAGGACAATGAGAGAACTATTACTATAGGAAAGTTGGTAAAAGTAAATAGAGTCAGTGAAAGTATTGGTTTGCATTTAAATCAAATGGACATAGAGTATGCAAAAAAGGAAAAGGCTTACCTGGAAACGTTTGAAGGAAAGAACACTCGGTAAGGTTATTAAATATATTCCCGATATTGAGGTTGTTGGAATTTCCGTATTGCCTAGTGATGTCGTTTTGAATATGCCATAGATAACGAAATCTAGATGTGGAACCCAATGGAATGAACAATTTTTATAATTGAATCAGGTTCCAAGAATATTAACATGGAATCGGAGTCAATAAGATATGAGCATAAGGTATTCGAATGTCACTTGAAATCAAGTGAAATGAATGATACTAATGAAGCATATGCTGTTGGTTGCCATTACGAAAATGTAATCGTAGTTAACAAGAATGAAAAAAAGGCATTGGAATGGTGCCAAAAATCTGCTGAAGACAAATAAAATAACTTTGGTGTAAACAATGATATAATCATTGCGCATAAAATGGATAGTAATAGAGGATATGAAAGGGATAATAGCAATTAGTGTAATTAGTGTAATTAGTGTAATTAGTGAAGTAAATAGCCATTTTCTGTGTATAAATTTCAAAATTTGTAAGACTGGACTAGAGCCAGAGTGCTCTCATGCGTCGAAGACTCGATACTAGTAGACTAATGGGATTACATCTATTTATTAAAGTTAAATCGATAATAATGGACTAACAGGCAACCTCCACAAATTCGGAAATCCAATACGATGATTCTCTGGAGCAAATATTTACTGTGTTTAGTGTGCACAAACCATATTCATCTAAAGAAAAAAAATGAATTATTAGCAAATTAAAGTGACTAAAGTGACTAAAGTGATTAAAAACATATATATATATATATATAGAACTTTATCGTTTTTTTGTCGAAAGAATAATTCTCAAAATTACCTTAAAATATCGTGTTATGCATTTAGAAAAGAATTGCGAAGTTGGATTAAAATAAATAGTTATTCCTGTAATGGAATCAGCTTTGAAGGGTAAGTTCTTAAAGTGAACAATTTTTTTAATTAAAAAAATTTTTTCTTTATTTACATTTATATATTCTATATACACAAAGTTTTAACATATCTCTATCAAATATATGAATATTATTTTTAAGACAAATTTCCGTCACAAAGACTGAATACATAACCAAAATTATATTAACAAGTTTCATCGTTATATTTGGAATAATTTATATTTATTGTCCTTTAATCTTTTTTAAAAAAGTATGTTATCGTTTTTCTATCTTTTGATTATTATTATTATTATTATTATCGTTATTATTATTATGTCTATTGTCAGCCTTAGCATATTTTCCTTGAGACTCAGACTTTATTTTTTCCAATATTTGATGCCTGGCTCTTTTTACATCAACATCTATCGTTAAAACATTAAATTCATGGGCTATTCGATGAATACGATTTTCGTCAAGAATATCACAATTATTTAAATCTATACCATCATAAATTTGATCTAATACATTAGAATCGGTAGGCATTAGTCGCTTATCACTTATAATAAGTTGAAGATATTGAGCACCCTTAAATGCTTTAATGACAAAAGAAAAAACCAAGATGAATATGAATTGAGCATTAACAAAAGTCAATAAGATTTGATATAAATTAAAAAAGATTATTTTTTTATTACCTTTATAATGACTATATAAACGAAATAAATTATAAAATAGAGGTATATTCGGTATAACTGGTATTAATGTAAAAGTGGAGGTTAGAGGTACGCACAATGCAGAATATATCATATATTTGCGATGATATGGTAATCGTTGTCCAAGCATTTGTTCGAGGGTTGTCATGACTTGTTCGGGCTTTACAACTTTTGATGGATATAATAATAGAACCTATTTGCAATATCAATTACAATATCAAGTAAAAGAAAATTAACAGAATTGCATAAATAATAATAATAATCATTAAAGAACCTACATCATTATTTTTTTCCTCTTCAGCAGCAAATTTCCCCCCTTTTTCATTCATTTGTATATTATTTTTCACATTCACATTCTCTTTTGACGAAAAAATTTTTTCCACCTCTTCTTTTAATGGTATACTTTTTAAAAAATATTCTTGATGGTCAATTCTATCTAAGAGTTGTTGGCCCGTAATATACAATTTTCCCTTCCAACTGGTCTTTTCAGCGTGATAAAGTTGATCCCATTTTTTAGCAGCAAAGTCAGTGATTTTTGATAAATAAGTTCCTCTCTTAGGTTTTCCATGACAAAAATAAGCGAAATGATTTCTTAGTACAGGTATTGCAAAAATTCTCATTATTTGATTTTATCGGAAAATTTTGAGAAGCATCAGATTTAAATTGATTAAGATTAAACACATTTCTCGTCACACTTGACGATCACATGGACTGTATATACGGCGGAGTGTGACTATGAGTCTGATATGGGCTGACATCATAGACAGAAGTTCGTCTGATTGGTTAATGTAAATCAATTGCCCGGGTAACTTATTTATATGCTTTAAAGTACTTTTTAAGAAATCTACATAGGTCTCTTCGTTAAAGTGTCAGAATATTACCTTTAAAAATAATCTCTAATAAGATCTTATTTAAGTAGTGT